AGCATTCAAGGCCAGGTTGGACGGGGCTCTGAGCAACCTGATCTAGTTAGTGGTGTCCCTGCTCCTGCAGGGGGGTGGGACTAGATGACCTCTAGGGGTCCCTTCCAACCCAAAACATTCTATGATGCTATGATTCCTGGGAGACTGTGGCCTGCCGCCAGCACCTGTGCCTTGCTCTGTAGGGGAGAGGTTCACACAGCTCCCCCATGATGAGGGAGCGGATCACAGCTTCATGGATATCCCAATGGTCTCTTAAAACAGTTGGCCTAGGACAGGCTGGCTTCTCTCTCTCCAGGCAGCCCTGAGAAAAGGGTCTTGTCACCCCCTGTGAAAGGGGATCCCCACCTCCACCTGTTCGCAACGCAGGGCCCAGTCGCACCCTTTCGCTAGTGTGAGTTGGGTGGCTGTGGTACAGTAAGGAATGTTGGTCAGCGCCTGCTAAAATCAGCAGAAGGGTTCCTCCGGGCCAGCACAGAGCCCCCTGAGGAGACTGACAGGTCTGTGGGTGGTCTCAGTGTAGCAAAAGTTGGGTATGTCCTCTGTAAATGCAACCCAATCAGGTAAACGCTTGACAGCAGGTAAAAGCACTTAAGTCCATTGAACACAGACAATAAAATAATAGCAAACAAACTTTTGTTAACCCCTAACAATGCCATCAGTGCCGCACAAGGTATCAAAGGTTGGAAGACCAGAGAAAAGAGACCTTCCAAAGACCAGGGGACTGAGCTGGAATCATGTTTTCTGTGTTCCCTTTTTTGTGGCCGTTACCTCAAAAAGCAATAACTAATATAGCAAGTTGGGAGAGATTCTGAAAGTTGTGAAAGTTACCAAAATAGAGACATTTCGAAAGAGACAAAAATGAGTCAGGAAGGAAGGACTGTGAAGAGAGGTTCGACAGAACACAAGAGGTGCTCGTGTAGCACGCAGGATGGATGAGAGCGCTAGGGGGGACGGCTCGTGCAAAAGAAAGATTGCATTTAAAAGTAAACCCCAGCAAATGATAAGCGATTCTGACAAGAAGGAGCATTCACAGAGCATCGCTGAACCAGGTTCAGCCGTGAGGAATCGCCTGTAGTATCCGCAATCTTGCCACTTCTCCTGTTTAATCACAAGTCACAAAATATTTTATTTTCCTTAAAGCCCTAGCTCCTAGAATAAGGTCGCTTTGTGGGGCTCGTTTTCCTGACTGAGAAGAAAAGCTAACGAGCAAGGCAGAGCTTACTGTGTCCAGGATCAGCAACGCACGCTGAAAGTCCTTCTAGCAGGTTTCTGTTCTTTGTGTGGTTTTGTTCAAAGCTAGCACTGGTGGGCTAGATCCTGTCAAAGTAATTATAAAATGAGTGATCATTTAATGCATATATTAATAATAAGTCATAATTAATGTGCAGGCACCTGGGACTATTCTATAAATCATAATTGCAGCTAGCGATCTACTTTATAGTGCACTTTTACAATTAGGAAATTGTATAAAAGAGGAAAGAGTTGAAAGGAAGATCCATGCAAGCCAAATTCATGCTTAAAATCAGAGGATATTTTAACTTTGTTTTAAAACAAATACAGAATAACTGTCTGAGACTGATGCTATATACGCTTATAGTATAGGCATGTAGTCTCTGGAGTGCTTTAAAGAGCATTATTAATGTGGCAAAGTCAAGCACACCAAAGTTAGGAAATGCCAGGATTAAGAGCAGCCTAAATTAATTAGTTTAATGCCATTTTGCAGATCCATTGTGAGATCATCTTTAAGTAGATGGTCATAGCTTACCACAGTCCAGCTGCACATGGATCGCAGCCAGAGTCCTAGACTCTCAGTATTCCCAGCCCAGGGGTCAGTGCGCTTTACTCCAGGATCAGAAGGGGATTGCACTCTAATGGCTGAAGAAAAACATGCTGCTCATTTTTTCATGTTTGACTGATTCTGCTTATCCCTTCCAACTGGGATTGCCCTCATTTTTCCCAGTCCCAGCAGTTTATCCCACTCTTATTTTTCTTGCATTCCTATTTCCACTCCTGGACTCCTGGCTTGGTCTTTCCATCCAGGTCCACATGCTGTCCGAGTCACGGGCTCCTCTGAGCGGCAGTATCTCTGCTGTATGCAGTTCCAACCCTTTCCTCAGACACTTCCATTTTTCCACACCTGACTCTTCATCCAGCCTAGCAACCCCCTTCCCACTCCCAGTGGCATCCGGTGTCAGGCTGCCGCCCTCCAGCCACAGTGGGCCAAACCCCAGCTGGCTGTGGTGAAGACCGAGACCAGGTTCCCACTTTCATTCCCTGCCACCCCTTTTATTCCTGTATTGTGAAACACTGGGAAGTAAATGGATGCGTAGAATAAGATCTGCTGCTTGTTAACTTTAGGAAAGAAAGACGTACAGTAAACGTGCTGCAAAGATTATACTGTGGCGGACTAGAGAAGCCTGCTTCAGCCACGGAACATCTCTTGGAAAGGAAGGCTGAAGAGTTCTGGAACCAGCAATGGATGAATAAATTAGATTTCATAAAGAAGAATAAATCAGTCAGAACTGCACCCAATTTATTGGAAGAACCTGCAGGATCTTAGAAAATATGTTGCTGCAAGGCTATGCTACGCTGCAAGGAGTTTTTTTCTTGTCCACCCTGTGGCTGCCAGTCTGCTGTCAGAAGTCAAAGCCAAGGAGACTGGAGAAAGGGTGCTTCACTCAGTGTCCAGCATTGCCTCACACAAGCTGCGGCACACAACAATGATTTCTAACTAACTTTTGCAAATGCTCCTTAAAGATACAGTTCTCCCTTTACACTCCAGCTCCTCATCTTTTGTGTTTTCTTCACGGGATCCTAGTTTCAGTTTCCTGGTACAGAAACTTTTTCTCCTTCCTTTTTACCTCCATCTTCAATCCTGCCTAGCAAACTGGTTCACATTCCTCTTGTGCAACCAGTGCCAGGCACCCCTTCCAATTCCCAGCCAGTTTTAATGTCCTCACCTCACCAGAATTCTTGATTCTATCGAATCATTTCCATTCCCCTCATTTTGCTTTTTTTTTCTCTCCACTTTCTGCATTTTCATCAGACATTCTATTCTTCCATATGGGGAAAGAGAAAGGGGAGCCATGAAAGCAGGCAGAAGTAGTTACTGTGCCTGCAAGCAGCTCCAGGCCAGAGTATATTTAATTGAAGCCCATGTTAACACCTCTAAGATCTGCGAGGGAACTGAGTTATGCTCCCTGGCAGAAGCATCTTTGGAGATTTTACAAGTT